TATGGTTTAAAACGCATGATTTCAGCGCGATAAACATGATAATCAGAACCAAAACAGATGTTTTTAGCAGGTATGAACTGTAATGGTGCAGCTCTATTCTGGAAAAGGGGGCGGGGAGCAGCAGCTCATTTGCATTTAAAGAGACAGGCCCGAAAAACAGCATGTTTCTGCTGAAACTTCAGACACATTCTGGGGACACCAGAGACTTATATTACATATTGAAAAAAGGGGCATAATATGTCACCTTTAAAATATATTCAAATAGAAAGCAGTTATTTTAAATTATAAAAAATGTTTCACAATATTACTGCTTTTGCTGTATTTTGGATCAAATAAATGCAGGCTTGGGGAGCAGAAGAGAATTCTTTAAAAGGCATTAAAAATCTTACTGTTCAAAAACTTTTGACTGGTGGTGTAGGTAAAAATATATTCATCAATATAACAAAATCTTTGTTTTGATCCATTTCACGTTTAATCATTTAATCCTTTCACATTGGATTTCACTGTACACAATATCTTCAATATTAATCTTAATGTCATATAAAATGATTAAATAAATCTAACCTACTAAGGCTATTGTGTTGATTAGGCTTGTCATTTTCCACCATCCTTTTTAACTTAATACGTTTATGAAGTTTATGTTTATTGATAATAATAAAATACACAACAGTCGGTTTCTTCACCCAGCAGTGAGTATTTAAAAGCCACCATATACGAGCAGAGTACTAGCCTATATCCCAGGCCAATCCTTTAGCAGATCCTTCATGATAACTTCATAATATGCTACACAAGACAGGATAATGCAGACAATAAAAGATTTTAGTTTTTATCTGCAAATAAAGCCCTTCACAGATTCCAGATCTACACTGAACACGTCTTGAATAAAAATGACTTAGGATGAGACCATTTATAACAGTGAATCAATTTCAGCTAATAAATATCATTTTCTGTTTTTGCTCACCCTTTTTCAAACGTACACATCATTAATTTGACAACCCTTCAATTTTAATAGTATCTGATGTTCCTAAGAGGACATGATTTCTTTCATACCTAAATGCAAATTCTGTAATTATCCAGATCTGCGTTTTATGAAATCACAGGAGGGAGCCTATCAGAATAGCTGACAGAGCAAATCTGCCTGTTGCACCAAATTGTTGAGTAAGTTACTGATAAATTGCTTACAGCTATAGAAAAGGCTAGTTTCCTGTTTACACTGCATCACAATGTTGAGAGTCAAGATAGATGCACTTACATTCTTATGACAAAAATGTTGGCTAAACGTTTTTCTTATCATGCTTAGTAAGGCCTGGTAACGCACAATTGACCTTAGAGTAATTAATTCTCTATTTGACATTCTCCATCAGTGTACAGATGGGAATAATATAGTACAGGAAAATAAATAGCAGTATAATATCAACCACAACAGCACTATAAACAGCAGATGAGAGGATGGCATGAGCAGAGATAAGTAATTAGGCTGAATCCGCAAAGCACAATAACTGGACTGGTTCCGGCATAAACATAAATAAACGCTGAGAAAGAAACCACTTTGTAAGGAGCAAAGGAGACACATTTGTTTACTAAGCTGTAGACAGATTTAAGACCTTGAGGGGTGTCGAGAAGATTTGTATAAATGTATGTTTAATCTCCAAATGGGGCTAGTTGCCCTTCCTGTGACATGTGGTCTAAATAAGTGTCCAGATATTTTAACTTTATTTTTCCCCTTCAGGATAGTATTATATTGTATTAACAATATAATTTCACAACTGGTTTAACTGGTCCATCTTGCATGATAATAATAATCCAAGACTCTGAGATTGCAATATGGACAGGTATATGTCTTTTCCAAACAGATTTGATTTGTTTTATATAATTTTCAACTGGTTAAAATGTATGCTAAAAGTTTTATGTGAAATCGTAAGTTCCTTAAACATATAATAGCTAACATTTCAACCATTATGTTAATGACTGAGTTAATGATGTAAGACCAATGACCAAAATATAATGGATAATATATTGTGTTGGTTATGTGATTATTACATTATATACATTCAGTCCAGTGTAAATGCCTCACCACAGGCTGCTATATTCCCATTAAAACAACACTTTTATGGAAGTTATATGGACTTGAGATGTTTGTTTTGCAGCAGGGACTTTGTTTGATCATTTTCATACTTTTTTAGGGGAGATTTTTAACCTTGTTTCACTTGTGATGTTCCTAGGCAAAAATGACCCGGCCTCAAAAGAATGCTTATAAATCACTCATTATGCTATATTATTACCAAATATTGGATTCAATCTTTTGTCAACTTCTTTTCTTTCATTTAGGACTGGTTTTGTATTTATATTTGCATCTGATTAATCGTAGGCCTCATTTATCTGAGAGTAGGCACCTCATTTTTTGAGTGAAAAAAGCATTATTTATGAATAATTTTCACAATATTAAATAAAAACTGATGAAAATTTGCACTGTTTATCACAATAGTGTGCTTTAATGTTTAATCAGGGAGTTTGTTTTGAAAGGCTTTTATTTTGTACAAAATGGCACAAAGTCACACTTGTGGTGTTCCCGGTCAAAAATGACTGGCCATTCAGAGTGAATGGGAAATAATGAAAGTAATAGAAACTATTAGTGTTCAGGAGCATGTTGATCATGTCACCCTGGTGCCATTTTGGAGAATATCCACTGAAGGCAAACTGTGTATGCTATTCTGTGTCAGCTGCGTCACGCAGATACATTGTTTTCGTTGTTTACACTTTGATTTGAATGAAAACAATGTATCTGCGTGAC